TAATTCTCTTCCTTTAAAGTAACGCTCATGATGAGCGAAAGGAAATGAAATACAATCGTCTAATTGGTGACCTTATTAAGGAAGGTTACAGTACCCAGCTTTACTGCATTGAAGTGGGTAGTCGTGGGCTGATTTCACCTGACAATGAAAAGCGTTTCAGTCCAGCAAAAGGCAAATTCAAAACTTAAAAGGAAGACCCTGCAGATTTCCCTCCTTTCTAGCTATACAATCTGGAATGCCCGACATCACGGCGTCTGGGCAAATTGCCAGGATTACCGTTTTAGCCGAATTTCGGCTAAATTTGACAGATTTTTTTCCGGGAAAAAGAAAACGAGCTTGACAGAAAACTTAGCAGAATGGATTTTTTTTAAAAGCAGATTTCTAGCAGAATTCTGTAAAATTGGTGATCTGACAGAAAAATATGGTAGATTTGCATAATATAGCTGACTAGTTTTGAAAAAGCTTAAATTTGAGCTTAAATTTGAGGTACCCTGACGTGTATTAGTACAAAGTAGGCCCAAAGTACTTTAGGTCATTGCAAGCCAGGCTAGACACGTGCAAGTTTTTTTTTAATTTTTTTTAATTTATTTTTTTCAAAGGAAATTTTTATGATTTTTGCTTTTGTTTAAGAAAATTTTATAACATGCATGTGAGTATAAGTATTTATAATGTATTTCGTCTAGTAATAGGTGATTTAGCAGATTTTGTTAAATCTAGTAGATTTTTGAAGTGCATCTAGCAGAATTTTGCCATTATCTTACGGTTACCCTGAAAATTGCCCCTATCTGTAAACCTAGATTAAGGTCCCTCTGTGAAGTGTCATTTCCTTACTCGTTTTTTTTTTCAAAGTTCACAAATTTTCTTCTGATTGCATTTTACCATTTTGCCATATTCACAATTTTTTCTACTGAACTGTCTGAGTTTGCTCTTGGCATTTTCATGAATTGTGCCATTTTATCGACAAAGTTTGTTTGTGACATTCATTTTGTAGTACTTTTGTATATTGTATATTACAAGTACATGTATGTTGTTTTTGTCTTTATCGTTGTGCGTCTATATACCTTGCATGTGTTTTGGCTTCCAAAACCGTGTCCTGGGTTTTGCGTGTACATTTTCTAATAAAATGAGGAATAATTTTATAATAGCATAGATCGTCGTGGATTTGGACAAGTTGTTTGGTCATATAAAAACTATTACTGAGAACTTAGATTTTACAACAAGAATAACGAAGGCCCTAGAGATTCGGCTTTTGAAGACCCTACCACAATCCAATAATAATGACTTTGGTTTAATAATAAATATGGTTTATTGCTTTACTTGTGGATTAGGAAACAAATTATGAAAGGGGTGGATGTTATTGAAATTAGAAACCTGTTCGAAATGATTATGTCGGAAGCTGCGGGCCAACGAATTCGTGTTCGTGCATGAGTGACGTGATGGTGCCATGTAATTTCTGGAAGGAATAATGTTTTAAGTACAAACATTAGGTTTTTAACCCTAGTGACCCCATGATGGCCTTTGACGGTCAGTGGAGACCCATTAAAGTTACCCAAAAATGGCAAGCGCCTCAGGGACGAGTCCTTTGACAGGGCCCGAGGAACGCGTTTATTATAGCCATGCAAGGCCGCACTGAACGTTAGTTACTAACTAACGGAGAAACACGACGATTTCTTGAGCTGCTGTCCGCAGCTAAACAATGATAAAAGGGGAATTGAAAGACGACAAAAAGCAAGACAGGCACGTGATGACACAAGGGCGCAAACCGTACATCAAAAGTGACCTTTTGTTGCGGTAACGAGGCGGTCTTGCGAAATAGGGAAAGGCCAAATGAAACGTGGTTAACTTCAAGTACATTTACGGTTTCGATCAGCTTCACCAGTTTGCATCCTTCTCACGCCTCACCGCACCCATCCTTATAACATCGCATCATCGTTGGAATCCCTCATTCTCCTGACTACGGGCAGAGCATACTGTTCGAGACGTTGAGTCCCTCCGGCTCTTTTCAGAACCACACATACTCACAAAAGAGATTTATTCACATGGTGCTACCGCAAACTTATCTTGTGTTTTAAGTACATTTGGAAGGGGAAAAGTTAGGGTTGAGTACACGGTCGTACAACTACGGGGATGATGATGATGAGAAAAATGTCCGCACGTTGAAAATTCCACCAGCGGGACGGAGGGAAGGTAGTCCGAGTATCACCCATTATCCACGGAGCCAATCCTGTAAAACGTCTGACATCTCCTGACATGCAAATTTACTGAAGCCGCGCCACCAGCCAATCGGAGTCGACTTTACTAAATCGTGACGTCATTTGATTCCCAAATCAGGACTAAATGGTTTGATTGATCAATTCGAATGCAGTGCTTTGTAATACAACAACAACCGGCCCCATATCGCGTAACATGATACAGAGCGCGTGACACGTTTTTTGAGTCCATTGTCTATGTGACGCACAACGGGTGAATGACCGAAGACTCGCTATAGAAAGCGCCCGCTGATTGGTCAAAATCTAGGAGGTCAAGGGGCGGGGTCTTGCCTAATTAATCAGCAAATCTGTTCACGCAAAATAGACCACAACATTCGCCGTGGTCTATTACGTAGACTAGAGGGAAGGCGGGTCGCAAATATTTCTTCTGCAGGCTAGTAAAGTAATTTAACTTAATACGCATTCGTGGAACATATCACGTGGTTGAATAAAATTTCATGTGATTTGAAATAGATTTCCCTATTTTTATGATATAAATTTCCCTATTTTTATGAATTTTTTTCAATATTAAATCTCAACATAAGTAAGTCGTTTTGAGCATCACATTAAAGAAACAAGACGAGGCTTTCCGTTACCTTTTGTTTCATCTCATTTGCTTTTGTCAATCCAGAGATATTAACTCCAGTTTACTGCGGAACACAAAAATCGAGTTTGTTTCTTTTGCCAAGTTGCAATCTTTTGTGAGCTTCAAGACAGCATGGCACAGTACTCGAAACAACTCTGCCCATGCATAAAAGTAGCACAAAATCGATTTTGGTGTATCGCACTAAATTGATTATATCTCTGAATTGACAAAAGCAAATAAGATCAAACAAACACTATTGGAAAGCCCAGTCTTTGTTCTTTAATATTATGCCAAGTAAGAAGGACTTATTTTGAAATTTCATATTTAACCAATTTTTTTTCTGATTGTACCATTTTTTTGAGACAGGCTGTATTACCACTGACAATACCTTGCATCACACAATTTAGCTATTTGCCGAATAGATTATAAACTGTGCATGCCTCCGCGTGATTGTCAATGTTACCCAATCCAACAAAATGAGGCTCAAATTGCCTGAGCTTAACTAGAGTCATGGACTTTTAACAGAATCTTACACAATGGAAATCGATAGGAACAGTCACCATTTTACCCACATACTGTCTGCATACAGTAAAGTGTCAAAGCGAATGATTCATTAAAAGAAAAGCGTGTTCTTTCCAATGCAAATGAAAAGTAAATGAGATATGCCGTTAAGACTCATTTTGTAGTATCAGGTCACATGAATTGTATAGCCATGTATGATGTATGACTAGGCTATCTGCTGTCAGAAAAAAATCAATGATTTACGTAATCTAAACACAACAGTATCGTCGGTGTAAAGGGATACTTTGATTTAATAAGCTAAATCTCAGCTGATTGTCGGCACCGGCAATTCGTCAATGGGGAGAAGAAACCTCTTTTTCAGTGGGTAAAATACCAGCTGAATAAAGTCACTGAATTTTCAATTTGTTATAATGATTGTGAAAATTCAAGTTCACTCGTATTTATGTAAACCTTAATTTTAAACACGTGCTGAGATGAGGCCCATGAGTGGCTTTTTGTTAACAATGCACGGTAAATAGAAGCTGAAAGCTAAAGGGAAAACATGCCTGCACAATGAAACAAATACTGTTAAAAACCCAAATGTTTAAATAATTTGAACAAAAAAAATAATTCAGAAGGATTGAAACATTGACAGGCCATGCATGACAATAATTCGCAACACGTTACGTTAGTGCAGTGTTTTAATCACATGTTTATGTATATATTTTTTTAAATTTTCTATCATATGTTAAGTTTTATATTTTCTATCATAGGTTAATTACATTTTTGCTGTGATTTTTTTCCCAGTTCAGCGCTAGGAGTGTTATGTCAACATCGGCAGACAAAATAATTATTATGCTTTGTCATGACAGGCATACATTACGTATACCCAGTAACACGCGTGAATGCTGGTGAATTAGCGATACGAGTCGGCGGTGCCATATGATATTTAAACTCTTATGAAATGATGTCGTTTCCTCAATGATGCCTTACACGTGACCTGTCACTTTAATAATGTTCACTCAAAAAACACATGCGCAATACAACCAAGAGTCTGTATTTCATAGGGTCCAAAAATTCACACAACACCAGGCACTCGTAAAAAAAAAAAAAATTGCGTACCTCGGACCAGCGATTTGCGTCACGGCCTGGGTGGTTACCATGGCAACTAATAGGGAGTCTCGAGGCGCTGCCGCGCCCCCCTCGAAGCCTGGAATGACGTCACAAATTGACGTCCGCGAAAAAACTCCCGCGACGTTTTGCGTGTGCATGTGTGATAGCAATGGTATGCGTACGGACGTGTGTCATAGTATAGTGTACGTTGATGTATGGGATAAATGATAGAAACACCATTGTACGTAATCGTATGGGGGATGCCACTGCACTGGTGATGTGGGGTGATTTGGAGGTGGTTTTGATCGTTACCGATCCCCCAGCAAAAGGCCTCTTTTGGCAGGACGAAGACTCCCCTGAACGGTGAGGGATTTTGTGGGAGCCGGCTCTCTAGGAAGACCACGATTTGACGCACAGGAAAAAGCACCACACGACACCGGCTTTTTGTTGTTGTGAGCGTACATCCACGAGAATCCCGGCCGTGGAAATGACTCAGGAGCCGGTAGTGGTTCGCTCGTGTTGCACCGGTCCACCGCAGACAGCTCGACAGCTGGCCTTTAATTGATGGCGCGTCCGGCAGCCACTGACAAAACCCAGCTTTTCGTCATTTTGCACGGAAGGAATCGCTGACGTGGAAACTGCGCTAGGAATGGGGAAAATGTCAGTTATATCCCCTCATCACATCAGTCACGGACATGACGGTTTGTGTCGAAAAGGATTGTAATTTGTAATGTGATCGCCCATTCATTCATTCAACATAGCATCGCTCGGTATGGTTCTGATCAAACAACTGAACAACACTGGGTCATTATCGTCAAATCTTATTTATTTTTCTAAATCTCATATCAGATACCCCCTGCAGAGTTTCAAAACAACTGGTGCTTTATTCTCATTTGGATGTTTTACATTTTAAGGGGAGGATTCTCCATACTCAAGTGCTGTTGTTTATGCATTTTCTACACTAGTCTCAAAATCAACTTTTGGTTTTGAGATCCCATGTTGGTTGGATCGAAACAGAGGGATTAACGCTTCATCCTAACGGCGAGACAAGAGACGGAAAATGGTCGTTATGGCAACGGAGACACAGGGCAAGCCTCGTCGGGTCCACATCCGGGTCGGATTCTACGACATCGACAAGACCATCGGAAAAGGCAACTTTGCCGTGGTCAAGTTGGCCAAACATCGCATCACGAAATCTCAGGTGAGCTGTGCTGATCGAATCCCGTCAATACCTGCGCACTAGCGTCCATAGAACTTTTCATGGATGACGCCATCTTTGTGGTCAGATGGTAATTTCGGGGGGGGGGGGGGGGGGGAGGATAATATTATTGAATTACTGGACCAAGTCTGCTAAAAATCCATCAATCACACTGCTTCCAATGCATGCTTTGCTTTTAGCCTCCAGGTCCAAGTCCATCATACTCCATCAAATCAGGCCTGCAGGACCAAGTCCCCCAAAATCCACCAAAATGGGGGATGGATTTTGATGGAGTTGGGGAGGCCTGGAGGTTAGAAGTTTCGTTTACATGTACAGTGTATGTTGCAGTGCATTGTGGGACAGTTTGTGCTGCTGAAAATCCGAACTTGGATAGCATGCAAACTATCCCATAATGCAATGCAGCAAATTCCTTTACCTGCACAGACACTCAGATCCGTCCAAATATGGATACTGCCAGCACCTGACACCATAGAGAACGCGTACACTCCATACGTCAAAACTCTCGGTCGGGCCTTCACCCGCTTTCAGTGTTATCAGAAATGACCAGCTTTAAGGTCAAAAGGTTACATAAAAGTGTCTAGTTTAAAAATAAAGTAAAACCTGGTCAAAACGCCCTGAGTATTAGTGGTGGATAATTTCTATAATTAACGCTTTCAGACCTCAGTTCCTAAAAAAAATTAATTTGTTCAGTGACTTGCCATTTGGTCCAGTGATACTTTGACCTTTGTAAGTTTACCAGAAATAGTTCTCTGAGTTTAGCATTCGGGCACTTCTTTGCTTTTGGACGCCATAGCAAAAATTGTTTCTTCAATTTATAGGCCTGCATCCTAAAGTTACATTCATGCATCTTTGAAGTAAAAAAACACCAAGAAATGCAAAATATATTTTATGTATTTATCCTGCAAAGGTGGCTGCAATGCAAAGGATAAAAAGATTTAGAGAAAGATTAATGTTTCCCTTCAGTGACTAATCAGCCATCAGAAAGTGATCATTATGTCCTAAAAAGTTTAATTTAGCAGGGAAAATATTGAAGTAGGCCTATTTACTGAGAAAACACTTAGAAATTTTCAGACCAGTCTCATGGGGTTTGTGCACAGGATTTAAATTTTTGATGGCCAGATATATGGGAATCTTTCCAGATTGAGGCTTAATTAAATAAAATCCATTTCTGTTAAAAAAATGTTGACTTCCACAAACCCGGTCCCAATTTCCTGGCTCTGTTAACCACAGAATTCCGTGCTAATACATGTAAGATCACCATTTTGTGCTAAACCTAAGGCCAAAAAATAAGTTGGTCTCTGGTCAGCGCGCGCGTCGATTTTAAGCATGCGCGTCGATCTTTTTTTTCTCCAAAATGTTCCGCGGTAGCTCCAACAGCGCCCTCTATTTCCGCACCTCCTAAATTTTTTTTACCAAAGGGCACCAAGGAATGGGAAATTGCACCAAGTCAAATGATCGAAAGCACCAAGGCAAATTATGGAGGACACCAATGTACATGAGGACACCAAAAAAGCAAAATAGTACCCCACCTTGTCTGTACAATCCAAGCTTGACGAAAAAAGAAAAAAAAGCAAAATAAAAAAAAAAAGCCGCGTGGCCGCGTCAATTCCGGAACTTTGGTCTGACCAGAGACCGAATATATATATTTTTTTGGCCTAACCGCACTAGCAGAAAAAATTCTGTGCTAACCCTGTAAGCACAGAATCCTATGGGATGTAGGCTACACATGCGCAGAAGCCAAAATTCCTCGCTTACCAGTGAAATGAGCTTACCGTAAGCATGGACTTTTCTGCACAATAAGCAGGGATTTTTCGCTAACGGTAAGCAGAGCCATGAAATTGGGCCCTGGGCCCAATTTCATAGCACTGCTTAACAGTAAGCAGAAAAGTTGTGCTTACTACCGGTATATAGCACAAAATCATGCTGCTGCTTAAGCACTATTTCATGCTAACGGTTGCGCGCGCATGGAGATTTCTATTGTTACGTCACTGATTTAAGCAAAGTTTCTTCTGGGGTTAAGCGTGCTTTTGCTGTGCTAACTGCTTAACGGTCCCTATGAAATAGATGGACGCTCGGTAAGCACAAAGTCGGCTGTTAAGCAGCGCTATGAAATTGGGCCCTGGTCATTCAGACAAAACAAGCTTAGTAGAGCTGGTCCCAGAGTACACAAAGTCTATTCAGTAATTCAGAAACGCTTGAGGTGCAGTGGTAATGTGGTGGTAACGAAAAATCCACTTTTGCTGTGCGCATGGCGACTTGACTTATTGCCTGTAATGACAAATCTGGCGGCAGCCTTTTCTGCAGCGGCACCAGGCTGGAGCGAGTCGCGCTCAGGCAGTATAAACACACTCTGTGCTCCTTCGACCAAGAAATACCAAAATGGGCTTTTTGCGCCTCGTCTTTTAATAGTGTGTTGTTATAAAAGTTAGAAAATTAGACGTTGAGGCAAGTTAAGGCAGATTAAGGCACTGTAGTTTAGAAAGTTCTGCATTGTACATGATTAGGCCTAATTCATGTAAAAACATGTCCCTATTACGTAGCTCTCTTATTAATTTTTACTATTCCCACCCTTGATCTACAACTGTATGCTGTATACGACAGAAGAAGAAGATTATTCCTACATGTACAATGCAGAACTTTCTAAAACAGTGCTTTTTTTTCCCTGAACGTTATAATTTTGATGATTAGGCCTACTGTTTGAGATCATTGAATATTCTTGCTTTTCTCAACTCTTCGCCTGCCGCTGCACAAGTTTACAACACCACACTGTTTAATTGAATCTGGCTCAACAGTGTCATGAGTGGAATTCAGCCATGTGCCATTCTGTAGTCCGAATCTCAGTCCCAAGAATTTACCGCCACAAAAGACCGGTTTCTGTACATTAAACCCTCCTCTTCCCTAGAAGGGTGATCGCAAGAGGCTGCCAGCCACCAGGAATTCCAACAATCTGACTAGTTTCCTCCTTTGTTTTTGGCACTCACATCCTAAAGCTTCTGACGTGTTGCCCAGGAAGTACCGGCATCTGATTTAAACTAGGGCAGTGCGTGTGACCTTGTGGAAACCGTGTACATGTACAATGTAGTTCACTGACATATTGGCTGGGCTGGTATGCAGCCAGGGTATGCGTCACACCAAATTGTGTCATCAAGGTCCTTGATTTTTATAAGGGGAAGGAGGTGCCCAGGGGCGTTAAAGGTGCAAGACACAAACTTTACACTGGAACAGATTTTGTGACGAAAATGTGCACTCTCCTGAAAATGTATGAAAACTATAGGCATCCCGTTTTCGGTCAAATTGTTTGTAAAGCGAACTTCATAAATTGAAAATGTTCCGTGCTTTTCCTGACAATCGAGGGCGCTGTTGCTCAGTGATGTCATTTCTAATTGAAGTCTAAGCAAAACTGCCCAAAGCGTCGATTGTGCTTGACATTAAAAATGTCTACGGGACTTCATTTATATTGTTTTGTTACTTTTTTTCCCAAAAAGCTGAATTCTGTTACATGTACGTTGTAATTCTGAAAACCAGTGGCCCTATTAGGCCAAATAAAACAAATTACCGGTTGATCGTCATCATCGTCCAAGTTTTTTTCAAAAAGAGGAGGACAAGGGGCTTATTATTTCTTTTTCAAGATGGCCGCCATGGATTTCAATTAAAAAGGGCCACCAACCTTCTAAGTTCAAAACAACCTCCAATTTTTATTAGCTATCCTACTACTACTAGTCAGTGAAGTCAAAATATTTATGTTAAACAGTGTTCTATGTATTTTGCCCAATTTATGCATGTTTTTAATATACATGAAACTAGCTTTTTGAGGTGAGAAAAAAAGAATTTAGTAAAAAAAGCTTGCGGCTTCAAAAAGGATGCGGACGGGGACGATCAACTGGAATTTGTTTTTACTTTGTCTTACATGTACCTGCCCTACTTGGAAAAGGACTGTATGTTCTTGACTACAACACAAACCAACGGTGACTTCAATCCCAACCTCCACCAACCCCCACTCAGCTCCACCAATCCCCACCCAGCCCCCCCCCCCCCCCAGCCCCCCTCCTCGGTCACCACCGATGAAGTCACACTTATACTGCCCTTCATTCCCTGGATCAACAGCAAATACTGAGTCACCCGCATGGAGTGCACAGCTCCCCATTTCCCTTCTGTGTACGTCGTACATGTACACACGTATGACATCACCGCACTTAAGCAGTGCGGCTGTTTACGCACATTGATTACTTCCAAGCTGGCGTACTCGACTATGAATCACGGGGCCGAAAACATATGGCATACCGATGACGTGATACCGTACGTGGATGTGCGTGTGCAATGTGTTTGCTGTGGCTGGGCTAAAGAATAACTTGCAAGGCCCAGAGAGCTAAATTGAGCAGTGCTGAAACATAAAATTTGTAGATTTTTTTTATGGATAAATTCTTGAAATTGGTTCCAACTGTATTATTTTTTACCCATGGATACATACATGTACGTGCATGGACTTTTTGACTTTGTGAAAACTGACATCACCAGTTCTATTCTACTCTTAAATAATGCATTTATTGGCCTTACTTTTTGATGACGTTGGTCAAAATTTGTGCACAGTGTGAAATGCAGTTGGCTTGTTTGTTTGTTTTGGGTTTTTTTTTATGAAAGAGCCGATAACTTAAAAGTTAAAGGTAGAGTACATGTGCATGTATATCATCTGCAACTGTCCTAAAAGTAAAAGACAAAATTATCTTTGAAAGGCTTACGTGTATTTGGATTGAGGATAGTAATGGCAATAAACTCCCTCTGAAATTGTTCTTTCTAGCATGCTGTCATTTTGAAAAAAAAACAACTATATAACAGAAGGCCTTTTCCAAAGATGTGTCTAGTGAGCATTTTTGGAAATTTCTGTTAGCAGCTTGTTTGTTATTCAGTGAATCCGTGTATGGGTGCGCGCAAGCATTGACACAGCACACACGCGCGTGCTCGCTTTCATTTGTCAGTTCAGTGCGTGACATCCCGTAGCTGCAATCGGCTAAATGAGAACGGGTCCCGGATGCTGATTTCAGGCGCGATTCAAAACATGACACTGCAACTTTTGAATTGAAACTGAGAGAATATTGGTTGCTCAGAATATACAGCAAACTTCATCAGGTTGGTTGTTTAGTACATGTCTTTTTATTTTTAGCACTTTTGTTGCTTCAAACGAAAAACAATGCACAAATGACAAATACATTTTGTACATTTAAGTACCGTACCCTACCTTTAAATTTGTCAATAATGTCACTATTGAAATGCCATGCTACATGTGTGCACACATGTACGTAAAGTCACTGTTGCATATAATGTGCACTTGTTATTCACAAGCCAGTCTCGTATCCATTCCTGTTTACTGACTACATGCAGATCAATTTACAAACAGGAAATTGGAAACATAATTAATACTAATAGTCTCAGGTAAATACATTAACATGAAAATAAATTGGACGTCAGTATTGAAAAGGTTGTCGACCTCCAGAGAACATCTGCTTCGTTGTTTTGGTTATATTGGAAGCTAAAGGCATTTTAAAATTTAAAAAAAGTAGAAATACTTCTTGCGTGAAATAAATAAGAAAAGATGTTTTGTGTGCTGCTTTTTTTCATGTCCCATCAACAGGTTCGCTTGTTCAATTTTTCGAAAGGCCTTGATGAGGGCAGCATTTTTAAATGCAACAAAACGCTGGTTCTGGTTCCGTGGTTTTGACTTTTATTTGTATTGGCTACTTTTATTCAGTAACACTATTGAGTTCTTGGAAACCCAATTCTGGTTATAGGCATACATTATTGTCAGAAATATTGAAGTTAAATAGCCTGAATGAACTGACAACTGGTTTTTGTTTTGTTTTGTCATACATTTTCCCCACACTTTGGGGCACTAAAGGAGACTAAAGTTTCTGAAGAATTAGGTTTTATTCATTTGTCGCCACATAAAATTGTAAGCAAGGTAGAATCTTTCTTTTCGGAACTTGCGAATAGAAATACAGAAAGCAATAAAACAAAATTTAAAGCTAATGACAAGTCTGCTCTGATGAATAATTAAACATTTGCGATTAAACATACCCTAATCTTTTAAGCCAACATTAAAAAAAAAAATTGAAAGTAAGGCTTGGAGAGCATAATTAGTCTGCCACCATCCAATTCAACAGTTTACAATTTATACAATATGTTCAGGTAACACGATAAAAAATAGTTTCCTTGTGGATAAGGTCATCTATAAAAAACTGAATCACTTGATTTGAGTTTGAGTTTAAGTCGCAAGTCACTCGATTTGAGTCTTACATGTAGTTTGAGTCTCAAGTCACTTGATTTGAGTCTTAGTTTAAGTGTCATCTATATCACTTACAGTAACACAAACAGTTAAAATCAGTGAAATCTTGATAAGTCAAACCTCGATGGAACAGGTTCAAAATTTGACTTAAGCAGAGTTTTGAGTTAAGCAGGGTTGTATGGTACATGTTGTTAAATACTACTGAAGGCAATGGATTCTTTGTTTGACTTTTAAACAGTTGTTTTGAGTTATCAGAGTTTGACTTATAATCAAGATTTCACTGTGTGTTTTCGAGGTCAAAAATCGTCTCAATTGAAAACATGTTATTTGTGAAATTTGTTGGCAGTACATGTACATGTACCAGTAGGCCTACATGTTTTTTGTGTGTTCATTTTGTGTTTGTTTTGTATTGACGTCACTTGTCAAGAATTGTTTACCATATTTTTGTGTAAAGGTAAAACTCCCCTGGACAGGCCTTGGGAACCATACACAAAATCATATAAAATGTAGGCCTATAAATCAGGATGTATTTTTATCCCTTTATTTTAATGCAGTATTCTGTTCAATTTGTTAAAGGTTTATTTCAAATCTTCAGTATTGACAGTTTTAAGGTTTTGAGGGCCTTTATAATTACATGTAGATTGTATTCTAATCGACTGGCACTTCATAGAGTTTCAGTCATCCAACTTTGCTCTTGACCATTGCACTTTGTTTAGTATCAGCTTTTGTGTTGTTATTTACATTTAACAAGTACTTGTGGCCGATAAAGCAGGGATTGCATCAGAATATTGGAGATTATTCGGAAATAAAAATAGAACACACGTAACATTGTTTGACAACAACTTGCACCCTCAAAATTGCCTACATGTACATGTACATGTACCGGTAGGTGCAGTATTTCAAACGTGAGGCGGCCCACCTCGCTACTTTCAGTGACCACCTCGCTCAATTTTTTTGCCAATATCACCACCTCGCTGTGAAGATTTGCAATAAAGGAAATTCTAATTGAAAATTTTTCATTCTGTGTAATTTATGAGCATTTTCCTTGACCTCTATGTATCAAGAACTCGTGTGTAAATGGAAATTATGGAATCATATCTCAAATATTTGTAAGGGCAGCATCCTTTTGAGTTTGCAAACTGCATCAATTTTGTTTCAATCATCAATTTGAATTTTTACCTCCCCGCTCATTTCATTAGCCAGGGGAAACACTGTGTAGGTGGTCAGGTACCAACTAGTTTCTCCCCTCCCAACCCCAATGCATGAAAGCTTAAAGCCTTTACAAAATTAAACGTGGGTTTTCAGTTCTCGGCCTGAATCATGCAGGATGAAAAACAATATACGACCAATCAATAATCTTAAAGTACACGGGGCAACGCGGCAGAAGAAATTCCGAGAATTCCCGCACTTAGCACACCTGGCTAAGGACCTTGTGATTGATTTGTGCGTCCTTGCGCATTGCGGCATCATCCCAGCTCTGTCAGGCAAGACTCTGACTGATCGGAGGGACCTGTATTCTGTATTGCGCGCTTGTCTCCTTGTTCGATAGTATCTTGTGACCTCTGAGTATAAAGTGTGTTTAAGTGTTGTGACCAGTCATAAATGTAGGGCATTTGGGGGGGGGGGGGGGGAGGGGGAGGGGGTTGACATCTAGGGTGTTGAATATGTACACGTATGTTGAATCTTATGCTTGAAGTGTTGTAGCCTATAATAAATGTAGAGCATTTAGGGGGAGGGGGTGGGGATGGCTTAGGGACTCTAGCTCCCCCACCCCCATCGCTTTGGCCCCTTTCGCACTCTCCAACCCCGCCCCCACACTAACAAACAGCGCCAACTAGTGTCAGATGTTATCCAATCGTGTCTACATAGAACATGCTCCAGGCAACTCGCACACAAGCATTACATTGCACATGTACATGGTACTTGTTGTGTACATGTCCATGTACATTTTTGCTGGTCCCAGAGGGCAAGCGTAGTGTCATCTTTGTCAAACACAGACCAGGAAACAGAGCTGGGCAGTGCTATTGTATAGAGTTACCCCATAACGCTAAAGAATCTGCTGAATTCATCCGTCCCACTGTGCAGTCCAGATGCCTGAAAAGACTTCCAGTGAATAGCCATTCTGATTCAACTGAATACAGTTTTGTGCACGCTAGGACCAGCTTTACTAGGCTTGCCCAGTCTTGTTTAAATATCGAATTCGCTGTACAGTCCAGTTTGGAGTATTAACACTCCTGCTGTTTGAACAGTCACAGACAGTAAAAAAAAATCAATCCCCTCCCCTGCCGTACATTTTACACAGGCTAGTCACCAACAGTCAGATCATATTTCAAGCGAGCGCTGTGACTAGTCAAATTCCGTCAACAGACAAAAGCAGGCAAGTGGTGGGCACAGCTGGCTTATCAATCATATACACTCGAAGCATAGTGTATCAAGTTACATAAACAGTCACAGCCAGTCAATCCTGCTTTATGTAGGCTGGGAGCTCTTAACTGTGAGAAACAGTCACTTGATTGATTTTGACTGAAAGGACAACTTTGCACGGAATTAATCATCATTAGCTGAGAACAGTTGGAATAATTTAAGACTTACTCTGTTTTGTTTTTCCTACAGGTTGCAATCAAAATAATAGACAAGTCGCGATTAGACGAGGCAAACCTACAGAAGGTGTATCGGGAGGTGGCCATTATGAAAATGCTGCATAACCCACACATTATCAAACTCTATCAGGTGAGGGACTGATAGGCTAGTCTAATTAGCCTTATTTTTTTTTGCAATTTCAATCCTAAACTATTTTACATGTAAGTACATGTGGACATTTTTCATTTCAACCAATTACTACCAGTGGGTTGCACGTGTAAATTGGACACGAAATGGTGTCCCCAATACGCAATTATGCGTAGTCTATTTTCACACTAAATATTGGATGTGTTATCCTGGGTGAGACAAAAAATACATTTTGAAATAAAACATGCATGATTTATCACAAAAATAGCAGAAAATTAATTTGGTGTCCCCTTTACACGTGAAACCGTGAATGGGTTTTGCCATGGCATTTTGGCATTTCTGGAGTAATGTCTGATTTTGGTTACAATTAATGATAAAAGTAGTTATACTGAAGATTATTGATGAATCCCCTAGCTGTCAATCAATTTTTCCATTTTGGGTCAAAATGTCGCAAGTTGGTACCCTAATTTACGGAAATAGCTGTGTTGCTCAAATTCCACGTTTACATTTTAAAATCTTACAAACATGTACTTGCAAAACACTGTGCTCTTAAAAAGTTGATTTTTTTGCCTCCTAACAAATTTTCAATATGTTTTTTTAGTTTTAATGAAAAAAAAAATGTTATTCTAATTTTGGGCATCTGTAACAATATGAAAAATGGCTTTCATTTTGTGCACCAATGAAACCGCAGTTTCAGAGCCGAAGTATTGCAGCCAATGATTCAAATTGTGTGAGGAAATAATTCAATAGCTAAACATCGGTGGATGTTTTCGTTAGATCTCATTCATAAACTGAATAACTTCCATATTGCTAGGAAAATAGCAGTTTAAAAAAAAAATCTTTTTTGGGGGAGAAACTCAAAAATAGCACGGATTTATTATATTTAAAATTGAAGTCCATGATGTAAAGTAACCTGTTTCAATATATTCGGGATGTTTAAATAGGCCTATTGGGTTTTTTTTACCCAGAAAATATCATCTTTGCATTAAAATGTAGTCTAAAACACAGGAAAGGCTGGTTTCTTCATCTGTGATTTTCACAAATTTTTGCTTTCTGATTTCTTGGAATTTCGTGGAATTTTGTTTACCGTGTTGTTTTTATTTCTTTGTTTACAACAGGTCATGGAAACAAAGAGTATGTTGTACCTTGTTTCTGAGTACGCCAGTAACGGCGAAATGTTTGGTGAGTACATTTCATTGAAACTTGTCAGAAACATTGTCTTATTTTGCACAGGTTTGTAGTAATACAAAATGTCTATATACATGTACATTGTATTGTGTACAGGGAGGTCAAACAAAAAAGTAGAACAAAGAACTTTTTTTTTGTTGAGGAAACTAAATCATGTTTTTGGGCACAAAATTTGCCATTAGATGATAGAGTGTTTCTTTACCCTTGACAGGATTTTTGTTCTGTGTGATATGAACCTTTTGTTTAAAAGTTTGGCAAAGCTTATACAGACTGTCAAAATTTGTTTTGGCCATTTTCTTCACCTTCTTGGTATGTGAATGCCTTTTGTTAGATACCAAGTGGCCCAACTTGGAATTCAAGTCATTTCATTTAATGAGCTGTATCTCTGGACTGGGGTGTCCAAATGAGACGGGATAAAGACCATTATGTAGAGTATTTACCAGGGTTCGACCTTAATTATTTTTTTTGTTCACTAGCCAGCCGGGCTACTGAAACAAACTCTTAACTAGCCCGCGGGCATTTTCACTAGCCCGCATTTTTTTTCTTATCTCAAACACAAAATGGCGTATTTTCAGGCTAAATTCTGCGGCAATTTTGTCAGGGTTTTTTATTAACAGACTATCTAATAATTTAACCCTTTAAAACAGTTGATAAAATTAGACACAAATTGCTGGGGTTTTCTTTCTGAATTTAATGATTTATTTCTTCCTGTACGTTCATCTTTGCCGTATCCCAATAATTTTTCACTTGCCAGCCGGGCTAGTTAAGGAGTAGTTTGACTAGCCTGCCGCTGTTTTGACTAGCATTTGGCTAGCGGGCCACCGCTTATTTCGAACCCTGGTGTTTACTACACATTCAGACTTAATAGATAAGTTTTGCAAAAAAAACCCTAGTATTTGTAATATTTATGGATTGACTGGTAATCGTTTTGAAAACATTCTGTACACGTGTACACATTATGAAAGGAAGTGTTGTGTCTGTGACAGAGCCAATTAATCATGCTATCTGATTAATGATTCAGAGAACTTGTCCAGAACTCCTAGTCTGTAATCTCCTTGACCATAGTGATGGGTGTAAAAGATTTGAAAAGAAATTATACATTTTCAAGTTTTATTCACTGAGCTCTTAAACCTCTGTCACAGACATTATACACAGTGCAGGAATTCGCCGCGTGAAGAAAATTTGTTTGTTAAACGAATATGTTTAAATCAAGCGAAAAATCGTTTTCATTTTAAATCGTGTTCATTAAACAAGAGATGAATTCAATCATTTCATTGGCAAAACAATCAATTTGGAATAATATTTGAACGATTTGCTACGTGAAGAATTTAAATTTTGTATGCATGTACAAATGTACATGGGCTGATCAGAATACTTGTACAGATTTTGTTCTCGGACGTCATTGTACATATAAATGACCCAAGCAAACAGATTGAGAGAGTCTGGCAGCCAACGCTTCTTCACACAAATAATAACGCGGTGGTCAGGTTGCGGACCCCTCTGTGGCACGCCGCGAACCAGCCCTAGAATACTTCAAATGTCTATGGCAGATGAAATACTAGCACTTTTGCGTCATCGACTTGCAAGGTTGCGAAGCCAGGCGGACTATCCCGTTCCGTGACTCTACACTATAGTTCTGGCAAGAATGTTAAACATTTTTTTTAGGGGGCCAGATATGGTGAGGCTTTCTATCAGCGTTGTCCATGTTCTGGGGGGGGGGGGGGGAGGGGGGGGGGGCGGGAGAGGGGGGTGCAGCCAAAAAGCCAGGATGTACAATACACAAGGGCATCGCAGCATGACTGGCATCTGCAGAATAATTTGACAGGAATCTCAAAAATGGATTTTTCAGGGTTGGCCTGTTCAATGCATTAAACGAAAGTGCAGCTGAGTTTTATTTATGTTACGAGTTCTTCATCAAAGAAAAACATGCGTCCTGCCTAAATGGATATACCAAGGAATTATCTGTTAAAGACATGTGTAGACAGCTAGAACATCATTTCAATTAACTATGCAGAATGTATGTGACATGGACATGTATTTAAAGAAAACATTGTTCATTTGCAGAATACTTCACGTACCGTAGTATTTGCCTTACCGTGAACATCTGTAAATGTAGTTATGTACTTGTTGTACATGGAATGTAAAATAATTAGAGGATATTTTCTTATGCATTTGTAATAAAAACATTGGTAGTCATTTTGTTACACACTGACAAACAAGCCAATTTGGCTTAACATACATTTGCACATGTTTGCTCTATCTTTGTGTGATCGCAGGACCACATGAAAGGTTCAGTGCTGTCAAATAGTGGATTTTTGCAATGAAGATATCGTGACCATCCATAGTGTACTTGTACATGTACATCTGTACAATGTACTGAATGATTGATAGACATAATTGGACATGCAGATAAAAAAAAATGAACGCGGAACATGCAGCTACATGTATATAGGAAGATTTCCGAAATACAAATTTCAAATTGTTTGAAAAAAAAATGGAGCCAAAAATTGTCAAAAATCAAGGGGTCCAATTTTTCAATCTACAAAATCTTTCTCAAACACAGAACAAGCAACTAGTACTAAACTCACCTGTCAAAATAATTTGAAAAAAATAAATGAAATGGAAAAATTGAAAAATCCCTTCAATTAAAACATTCCGGAGATGACTTGAACCTTTTGGCTTGAGTCCAGATGTGTCAGTTCCGATTGCTATAGTACCGGTACATTGACACACTGCAGTCATGTGTGTACATAATGTACAAGATAAATCCCAATGCCTGATGTACCGGTAACTTGATGATCGCCATAACAGAATACTCCTCTAGACCTTCCAGAATACTTTTTTTCTTCTCGTTTGGCTACATGTTTTAAACCTTTTCAGACAACGCCTGAATAAATTGCTGTCATTGGATTGATGGGTCATTGATTATGGAGGGGGAAGCACCATCTGAAAAAGTCTTCATTTTCATTTAACGACGTTGTCTTTGATTAACTTGAGATTTTAAACCCGAATAACCAACAAAAATTGATTAACAGAATAATCAAGAGTGGCCGTCCATTTTTGTTTTTAGGTTTGTTTGTTTGTTTAAATGCTTTCCTTTGTTCTCATGGCAACAGATTATCTTGCCAACCATGGCCGCATGACGGAGAAAGAAGCAAGGAAGAAATTCTGGCAGATCATCAACGCTGTGCAGTACTGTCACCAGAGGAGGGTGGTTCACAGAGACTTGAAGGTGAGTAGGATTCAGTAGAAGAGTTGTGGTTGTTGGCGAAGAAGATGTAATGTTGGCGAAGAAGATGTAGTGTTGGCGAAGAAGATGTAGTGTTGGCATGTACTTTTATTATTATTATTATTATATTTCTGGTAATGAAACCAAGGAATCCTCAAAAGCGCCCTAGGCACTGTAAGCTCGCAAGCTTGAAAAAACCTGTAGCAGAAGATACATAGTTCTAAGAAATTTTAGAGATGGGAGGAAATAACTCCAGAAGAATATTTTTGGGGAAAACCTACAGAATCTAGAAGGGACTGAAAACCCATCCACATATTGGCCCAGGCGGGATTCGACCCTGGGTCACAGCGGTGGAAGGCCTGAATGAGAATGTGTCCCGGACGCTGATTTCGGATGCAATTCAATGTCATGACGGGGCAACTTTTGAATTGAAATCGAGATCCTAGAATATTGTTTTCTGAAAATATGTACAGCATTCACTGAGCTAAAACTTCATCAGGTTAGTTAAGCACCCTTCTTTAGATTTTGGACCCTTTTGTTGCTTAAAAAAACCGAAACAAGTGCACAAATGACAAATGATATACTCTACTTTTACTTAGTAGACATCTTTTGCGTTCACTGTTATTGAATTAGAATAACAAAACACACCTCAGATGGAGATGGCCGCTGTACAGTGCCCTTTAATAGTCCTTGGGTTTTGTTTTTTTGGAGGAGGGATTGAAAATCATTCGTATCGTCTCTAATCTCCTCAATTATTAAAGAGTTTTTCACATTTTTTGCTAGTGATGTTTTCTGCCAATTTGCAGTGTCAACATCATTAGGCAACATAAAGCTGTCAAGTTCAGTCTCGTGGGGACAGTCTAACATTGCCCAGCGAGCACCAAACGTTTTTTTTTTTCAATTTAATCTGAGTAGGAGTTCTCGGAAGCTGCCGCAGCACAAATAAAATCTGTTTGACGTCAGTGTGTTAAAAATAAGCCAGCTGTGTGTGACCTCAACACATGCCCCTTGCCATGCTGGAATGCGGTTGGGGGATTCCTAGGCTCGTGTGTGCGGCATTTTTTTTTTTTTTTTTCAAACTGCGATCATCCCTGCTCCTGGAAGAATTTCCAGCTGCAGGCTTTTGGTGGCAGTCGTTAAAATACCATTATCTTCGGAGGAATGCAAATGTATAAATTTGGAAAGAAACAAGGATTAAAGGGAATATACATCATTTGCTTTTGCTGTAATTTTCAGATATGGATGGAATTGGGGGGTTAGAAATGTAAAGCAAATATAGTTACACTGACTTTTTGGAGGTTTTGGGTTCGAAAATGCTATAAAAACCAAGAAAAACATCATTTTCCTGTAGTCTGGTTCCCTGACTCCATATAAGAAGAAACAGAGCAGTTAACATACATTGGGGAATTGTAAGGTCAGGGAACCAGTCTAGCTGGCTCGTACCCGTTCATGGGTTTGTAATCGATTGCAAACAAGTGCAATGGTCAATTGGGGCCAGTATTTGAAAAAAAGCCAGTTGTTTCCAACGCTGATCGGCCGATCAGCGTTGGAAATTGATACAAAAATACCACTTTTCTTGAAAATGACAGTACATGTATACCAGGTGCCATAATTTTACAGGATGCTTTAGACTGTCATTTACCAACATCCTATTAAGGTATTTCGCAAAAACTTGGTAGTTTTATTTTTCGATGTTTGCAAATGTTGTATATTCCCTTTAACTCATGAGTGTCATCTCTGCCCATGCATTCTCAATTCTCAGATACATTTGTAATTTACTGTGTGTGATAATTTTCAGTGCTTTTAAGAATCTTATCTTACAGGAATTTCTACGATTTTATGATGAAATTGAGATAAAACTATCTAAAGATGTTTTCCTTTTATTATCAGTACATTTGGAAGGGAAATTTACGAAAATGATTCAAATTAGTTTTATCCTTTTTTCCCAATTGATCCGTCAGTTGAATAAATTACTGAAACATTAATTGAAACAGAAATTTCAAATGATACATCAAATTACCCTGTGACAAGTGCATAGTGCTGTTTTATTATTTGAGTGGGAAAAAGTAGGTTTTGTTTGAAAGGGTACGTTTTGTCCTTCATACTTTATGGGCCTGACGAGCAGGGGTAATAGTAATGTACTCAGCTTGAGTGTCTACACATGTTTGTTTATGGTGTAAGTCGAAGACACACACGTGCAACATCATCGGTGAATCGAGGACAGGAACCTAATCGAGGACGCCCTCGATTAGAAAACATGTACAAAACCAATGCGAGCTGATGGGGAAAAGTTTAGTACAAACAGAGGAAAAGGGAAGCTCAGAAGAAATGAAAATCCTCGATTTACACCATAAACAAACGTGCTAGTACATGTACATGTAGATTTTTGTGAATACCAATTATCTACATGTATCATCAACCAAATATTGGAATAGCTTTTTGCTGGTTGGAATATTCAGGGAAAAAATTATGCACGGAATGTGTATATATTTGTAAACACACGACTGTGATGTTATTTTAATTGTAAAATTGCGGCGCTTTATTGTCAGATGCCGCTTTTTTGTCAACAGTAACTCTTTTTGTCAAGGATGATTCGTTGTTCCCATCCTTCAGGTTAAAGCCCTTGACCATGTAGACAGTTATAACACTCCTGCGGCCCATAACAACGCAGCACACAAAGTTGTGAACTTTGCGTACAACTTTGATTGGCGCAGCACACTGTCACAGCTCTGGTAAAACTTGAACAGCGAGTTTCAAACATTTGAATATTCGTTCAAATGCAGTTACAAATAATCGAATACTAATTGATTCGGAAATGGACAGCCCTAATGCCAATAGAACAATTTTGGGAATGCACATGATTTTTGTTATGAATGTTTTCTTTTAACTTACAAATTTTCCCATTAAGGCCGAGAACCTACTCCTTGACGCCAACATGAACATCAAGATTGCCGACTTTGGCTTCAGCAACTTCTTCACGCCAGGGGACCAGCTAGCCACGTGGTGCGGCAGTCCGCCCTACGCAGCGCCCGAGGTCTTTGAAGGGCAGCGATATAGCGGCCCACAGCTCGATATCTGGGTAAGTCCATACCTCCAATTAAGCAGCGGTGCATTTCACGTGAACAATCGAACGTCTGCCAAGCCAGCATCGGTAACGTGCAAGTAGGACCAACTTTTTGCCACCAGCGTTGGCGAACATTGGCAACTAAAGTGAACAGTCTTCCTGAATTCAATATTGGATTTTGCCCTTCATATCTTTATAAGCAATTTGCCCTTCACTCTCGAGTGACTGTGAGAAAAACTTCACAAAAACTACCCGGGAGGGACTTGAACCCACGACCTCCTGCTTACTAGTGCAGATGTCTTTCCACTCGACCACCGAATTTGCTTGGGTTTGTGAATTCGTTTCTCACAATCACTTGGGACAACACTGAGTATACAGTGTTTATAAAGATATGTCGGTGAAGGGCAAAACCCAATGTTGAATTTACATCACCCTGGCACAAAAATCTTATGAACAGTCTTCCTGAATCGTTATGTTTTCCAAAAAGGCCGACACGCACAATGAATGCAATGATCCTGTCTGGGCTGATATGAAAGTTGCAGATCAGTAAATAAACTGCCATAGACCTCAGTGATAATTACGCCCACTTCAAAAAATTTAGAAAAATACTCACAACTCTCTAAGGTGTTTGAGACACACATCAAATGAAAGCTTATTTCATCGTCTGTCATTTTCTCTTCAATTTTTGAGGGTTAACCAGTGACTTTTGGGAGAAAATTCCATCCAAAGATGATCACCCCTAAAAGTAGTCCTAAAGCCCATCGCCATTTTGTAAAAGGATGCATACGCTCCATTGCAAATAGAGCAGATTTAGGGCCCAATTTCATCCGAACTTCACAGAAATACAAGCTCGCAGTCCTCTTCACGGCTTCCACCCTTCTTTTTTACAAACTGTCAAGTTCATGGCCAACAAAAGACTCTAATCCTCAGGCATGCAACTTTTCCATGAATGCCATTACAAATTGAAAAACACTGTACTACGTCTTGTGTGGTTAGCAGTTTCCTCATTTTTCTAAATTCCCAGTTGCATGCCTGTTACCTGGAAAATTAAGGGCAAATCATGAATTGGCCGGCGTAGGCAATTTTGGGCCTATTTACTGGCCTGCACCCTGAAAGTTTCCATTTTCTATCCTAAGTAAGTTCATACATATTCATAAATGGATAAATTTCAATGCCATTCACAATTGAAAATCAAGTATTTTAAAATATGCTATCCAAACAGTGACACTTGTACATGAAAGATGGGTGTACAGGGCGCTGCCATTTTTGGCAGTTTTTCGAGGACGTCATCGTTCCATTTGGGTGTTCGCATGTTCGCAGGGCTTAGCTTTTAACCGACGTAAACATGTTTGCGTGACCGGATACACACCCCAGGTGTACATGTGACACGTGTACCTTGCAGATCTCTTGCATCACAGCCTCCTTTGTGCGAACGTTCATTCCCCAGGGATACGCATGAGAGTAGACCTCTTACATGAATTTATTGTTTATACTTCAGTAAGAAAGAAAAAAGAAACACTTAAAAAATGGCAGTTGCATAACAGGGTTTTTTTCCCCCTTGCAAAAATAGAATTTCGTCTCACTTATAAATTCACAGACCATCTGTGGTAAAATGTAGACAGGATTTTCCCAGCCATCCGCCATCCCTAAAATCAAAAAGTGTGTGTGGGTGAGTATGTAAACGCCGGCAATCGTGAACCTAGGACAAAAGGCTTATACCAGGGTGCAAACAATATGTCCATGATTGACCGAACGTCAACGATTGAAATTCGTGTACAAAACCAATGTGAGCTGTCGCTAAAAAGTTGGGTACAAAGGAATGAGGATTAGGGACAATAGGGGTCCGTGATTGCCGGTGTTTACGAAGATGGATGTGTGTGTGTGAGTATGTAAACACCGGCAATCGTGGACGTAGGACATGTAGGACAAAAGAATTGGGGCGCAACGTCTACGACCGAACGTCTACGATCTCAAATCGTGTACAAAACCAATGTGAGCTGTTGCTAAAAAGTTGGGTACAAAGGAATGAGGATTAGGGACAATAGGGGTCTGTGATTGCCGGTGTTTACAAAGATGGATGTGTGTGTGTGAGTATGTAAACACCGGCAATCGTGGACGTAGGACATGTAGGACAAAAGAATTGGGGCGCAACGTCTACGACCGAACGTCTACGATCTCAAATCGTGTACAAAACCAATGAGAGCTGTCGCTAAAAAGTTAGAGTACAAACAAAGGAAAGAGGATTAGGGACAATGGGGCGTCCACGATTGTCGGCATTTACACACGTGTGTGGGGGGGGGGGGTATACGCGTACTATCTTCTGATAGGGGGCACTGTTAGATAAAGTGGACAATCATGGACACTCGGACAATAGGTGGCGCTCTTCATCCCTGGAAATTTACCGACGGACACACACTTTTTTGTACTTGCTAATTTCGCTGTCCTGATTTTGTTCTACATGTATCAGTGTCCTGATTTAGCTTTCAAAATCTCATGTACATATTTACAACAAATGTGATTTGTATACATGGAAAGTTTTTATGCTGATGTCCATTAATTACAGAATAATGCTTACAGCACAAAAAGTAATTGCTTAGTACGTGTAAAAACAAATTGCCAATTATCATATTTTAGATGTACATTGTACATGTTCATGTACATTGCTATTGACAGGTTCTCTACTAATTTTTGCTCTGGACCAAAAAAAATGGCTTTGTGATTTTTAGCCCCGGCAATATATTTGATACAGCTACGTGCACAGAATAATGTCAAGCCAAGAAAAAAAAAAGGAAAGAAAAGCCTAGATACATGTAGGGCTGCACACACCCAAAATTAAAATAGAAGCATACCGGTACAAATTGAAAATTTGTCGAGAGAAAATAATGGAATTTGTTGAAGACCGTGCACATGTTCGGTTTATACATGTACCAGCATCTCATATTGCTATCCACATACAACAGATGCAGTAATGAATTTTTACAAGAATAACATTTCAGGGGAAAAAAATATCAATAGAGTTGAGCATTTTTCCGCAATGAACACCATGTTTGTCGCATTCATAAGCGAGCAGGTTTGGTTGGCTAGGCAAACAGTGTATACCCAGATGTGCCCAAAATGTCAACCCTGCATGAGATATTGAGACTATTGATCGTATACGCGTGCCCAGTCTACACAGCGTCGTCACCCGATGCTGAGTGTGATTGTCAGTATTGTCAATGATATTGATGGCGATATACGATACATGCATTGATAGTCTAACCCAAAGAGTAATTACTTTAATTGTTAAATGTGAATGAAAGGCTTGTGTTTCACTACATGTACTTACGTACAATGCCGAATGTATTGCACATGCATGGATGAACTTCGCTGTGGTATTTCGTGAACAAAACATATCTTGCATTATTTGCAAAATGCACGGCATTATATCATTTAAAAAAGACTTGGAGCCAGACAACCCGGGCGGGTGTAATATCGGTAGTTTTTGGTAAATATGGATTAATAAAAGTTAGCGGTACGTAGCATACATTGTCCACAATATTTCTTAATCATTCAATTCAATTCAATTCAATTCAACATGGTTTATTAACAAATCACGAATAGCAGCCACAGCTGAATTGCACGTGATTTACATTAAAAAAAAATACATTTTAAAAAAGTTAAAGGCCTACCAAGTTAAAAACAAAATATGACATTAAATACTAATATTAGAAAAGGTTTAAACATTGTGCATACAGATCTGACTAAAGAAAATTATAGAGAAATACATATTATTGTTACAGATTGTGTTGCAATCAATTTATCTTACTTTAAAAAGGGGGCATTCAAATTGTGTTAAAACTTATGAAAGACATTCAAAAAGGTTGCAGGTAAACATTTTTATAGTTTATTCATTCATTTCGTACCAATTATGCAATGCAAAAGCTTTCAAAAGCTCCACATTAAGAAAAAAAAATAATACCCCCCCCCCAAAAAAAAACCTCCATTAAAAAGACAAAACAAATAACCAAACCAAAATTGTACCGGTACAGATGTATATTTTCTAGCAAAAACATTTTTTACACATACACGTGTACTACATGTACAATGTACATGTATGCATACACATTGTACAGTCAACTTGTAATCAACACAGATACATGTACATTGTGTAATTAACACAGAATGTGCTCAGCAGGCATGCAACTTTTTGTTTTTCATTTCACACAATTGCCATTAAAAATTGAAAAACACTGTCTTGAAAAGCGTGGAATTTCCCCTTTTCCCCCCTACTTCCCAGTTGCATGCCTCCATTCAGTCTACACGTAGCTTTACTAAATTAACAGTTCTAGCTGTTCAAATCACTGTATTTTTAGATTGTGTGTGGTTGAAATGACAGGACAATAACCAGCCAATAATAGACTGTATAGTTTGCTTATCTGCCTGAATTTAAAAGAACACTTGAAAAAGTAGAGTGACACTCACTTTTTGCTACGTACGTAACTGCAAACTGACGTAATTGTTAACCACCAGTTTTGTTGTTTGAAGATAAAAAATTGATAATATGGTACAAAGTCGGTACATTTTACGCAGCACTTGCGTGCAGTGCTGCTATTAAAACTGCACATGTAGGAGTACCGGTAGGTACATGGAGACGTACATTGTAAGATATAATGTGTACCCAGATGAACTGTTGACATTTTGTCGTGTGTTGATGGAGACACGCGTTGGGACATCGCGAGAGAAGCGTGTGAGAGCGGTAAAGGTTTAAGGTGCCTTTAGGAACTGGCTTGCCATTTCTGGCCAATGAGGTGGCTCAGGGTATATGGCAAACAAGGAGCAGAAATGTGTGGGTGGATAGGAGTGGGTTGGTGTTTGCCAGGGAGAGATACATGTAGTGTGATTAAAAACAAATAAGTGAGAAAAAGCTGACTGTGCTTTTCTTTTTCTTCGTCTTTTTTTTTGTGGTGTGGGAATTAGGGGAATATTTATTGTTACAGTGTAAAGAAAAAGGAAAAGATGATTAGTTTCACGTAAAC